TTAGGGCATGAATCTGAATTGAACAACCTGATAATGCTCACTCTGGTTATTGTTTCCGTTTTTAAAAGCGCTATATGTTGAGCCACCTCATGTGACATTTGCCATGTGACATTTTTAGCAGCAATCATTGGTAGATTTTCTAACGTTGCCATTCGGGGAGTTGTAATGAGGCTTTTTTTTGGTGCCGTGTAAGAGAAATATATATATAGATATATAACACAAATTCAGTTCTGCTGTTCCTAACTTCAGTATGAACATGCCTTAAAAAAATATCCCTCAACCCTCTATACACATTTATCTCATATTTTGTTATATGGCAAGTTCGTTATTCTTAAATAATTTTTTAAATAATTATTCTTTAATAAAAATTGTTCATCGTAAGTACATTACATATCTTCTCCCTTCATATCTTCTACTTTGTTTTGAATTTTTTCCTGGATTTTTGTGTGGTTTTTACTTGATTAAATCATGTAAATGAATTGATCTCAATTTTTCTTAGTGCTGCTCAGCATATTGTACTGATATATTATAAATAATAAATACGCAATATATTAATTTATTTTATATTTCGGCTATATTAATACAATATTAAAAAACACTATTTTTTGGGAGTATAATCGTGTGAATTGATAAAAAGATTATATAATTTGGTTGTTAATTTTCCCAATTTTAATTTTTTATTTTTTTTGTGTTTTTTTTTTAAATTTGTTATTTTTTTTCTTTTCTCATTCAATATCCTATTAAATAATTTTTTATTTTATTTCTTTGCTTTGTTTTCTTCGTGTTTTTCTTGTTGCCTTTGTGTTATTATCTTATATTGTGGGTTTTATCTGCTCATATTTTTTAGAAAACAAACGATAATCTTATCTTCATTTCCTAAATATTATTTCCACAGAAAAAATTAACCTTTTTTTGTTATCTCAAAATTTCTATTAACTATGCATTATGTTATAAAAAATAAATTTGTAGTGTCAAACATTTTATGAAAATCTGAAAATTATCTTTTATTCAAGTAATTTTAAAATGACATAGAACATTTAAAGCTAAAAACTAAATATAAATATCTTCTGATTTTGTCATTTAACTTTCGTTATCAGTTAACTTAGATAAATTTTATTTATTGCATACATATATTTAGACATAAATGTATTGTACATATGTACATTCATTTATTGGATATACGCATATTGTATATATGCGAACATAGAATGTATCTACATATGTATACATGTAATGTATGAACATTCAGACATTGTACGTGCATTGATAGTACACATGGATATGCATGCATGGAGCATACGTGTATTGTACATGTGTGGAAACATTCATTGGACATGTATATATTGTACATATTGCATATATTAAGATACCATGTATGTACACATGTAAAATTTGTACGAAAGATTTACGTCAAATATATGTATGCACATATGTGCAATATATGTACATTATAAGAACATTATATGTTCATACATTTCTACAATATATGCATGTTAAATGTACGTTCATAAGTTACTCATATCAAAAGAATGTATGTGTATATGCAAAATTTAAATACGCCCAATGAACGTTCAATCGTACACAAATGTATTATGCATATTTGGATAAAAACATTGAACACTAAAATATCGTGTATATGTGCATGCATACATTGGGCATGCATATATATATATATATATATATAAAGGCAAAATTAATGGTATAATGGTACTAATTCACTTAGGGGAAAGGTAAAAAATCGCCATACTATTATTNATAGATATATATATATATATATATATATATATATATATATACTAGGGGGCTAAGCTCCCTGTTCGCTACCGCTCACCAACCCCGATGATTGCATCGCAATAATTGTTTTTTCTTGGCCGAAAACAGTTTTTATACTAAAATTAAAATTATTCACTTAACAAATATGTACTGAAAAGAGTTCTGTTTGCTTACACTTGTGCCTCTACTTCCCACGTCCAAATGATACTATCTATTAGTATTATAAGCATTTAGATCTCTTGGTGAATAGAAGTCATTTTTCGAAGTAATCATTTTTTAAAATAACATTTATATTCTTATAAAATTATATTGTTCAAACAAATTTGATGAGTTCACAACCATAATTTAAATTTTTCGCTAATAATAGCAGTACAGGAAGATAACTTAAATTAGGGATACAAAACTATTTAAAAGAAAACAATACCTTTGCGACTTACATCAATTTTATGCTGATGACAACCAAAACAATTAGAAATGAATGAGGAAAAACTGGATCCTACCTCGTGATTTTTAGGCAAATAGAAATGCACGGACAACAATGGAAAACTCTGACATCATTATTAGACATACTCAAAATAAAATAAAAATTGCTACTCAGCTTTAGATGGTAAGTTTAGTTGTAACATTTTAACAAGCAGCATTATTAAAAATTATTACCTTTTCACACACATGCGTTATCAATTTTAATTGGTTGATTTGTGCGCTACTAAAGCAAGTGATCTGTGATTGGCTATGTGCTATCATCTCACTCTCTTCTTATATTATATATGAGAGAGAGAGAGAGAGAGAGAGAGAGAGAGAGAGAGAGAGAGAGAAAGAGAGAGAGAGAGAGATAGGTAGACAGTTACTATAAACTCTTTAGCATTAAAGGTCGCAAATCAATACTTAAGTGAGAAAGAAAACAAATTGTTTCTGGTTTTTGAGATTGAAATAAAGTAATGGGTCATATTTTAACAGCTATATACTCAAATATAACAGTTTACGATTTAAATTACCTAAAACTAATTTATTTGAGTATGAAACTTAAAGATTCCTCCTAGCGAAAGACATTCGAATGCAGTTGGATAAAAAATACTGGCTAGGGGTGATATTAAGCCCTAGTTTGCTTTTTCCAACAGCAATATTTATCAGTTATTGGAAATATGTGTGTTTTTGTTTCCTCGCTTATATAGCAATTTGCGATCTCTGATAGTCACTTTGTTTGAAAAATTCGTCTGATTGTAAAGAGTTTAGAAATATGATTTATAATCAACCATTAACTAACATTTTTAAAACTCGCTTGTTGCAATAAACCGTCAGTATTTTCAAAATCTAAACACTCAAATATGTCAGGAAAAATATTTAAAATAATTTGCAACCATCAGTTTCCACACAACTTTTTATATTGAATTTATCAACAGCATTTAAAGTGAGTCATTAGTTTCCGCAATGCATCTTTTACAGTCTTTCTTCTTCTGACGTCAAAAAATCGGAGACTATTCTGACAAACTCTGTCGGACTTTCGGCATGTGTGCAATGATAACCTTTATTCACCACTGCAAACTGTGCTCGGGGAAAATGCTTCAATATCAGATCTCTGTCTTCGTCTCTGAAAGGTGAGAAATAGATTAATTGAAAGATATTCATGGAATTTAAATTAACTGAAAACATTTATATAAATAGGTTTAAAAAGTAACAATTCTTAAAATGCATGCAACTACTTCTAGTCTTCGAATTTACGGATCTTGAAAGGTAAACTGAAAATAACAAATCAGAAAAAGTAACAGTTGCAAATCATTAAAAAAGTAACAAGTCAGATTTCTAAGCCGGAAGAAATTTAGCTAAAAATACGAGCCAGTAACGTGCAATAATACATATGTAGTTAAATATTAGGCATTAAAAGTATTAAAACAGTCATAGATAGGAAGAGAGCACATCATAAGAATTGACTCATGACCGGAAAATACCTGCTATGAACTTCTTGTTCATTCGCTGGTACTTCTATTTATCTATATTCTATGCTAATTTTACCTTTTTTCAATAATTACATTCAAATAGGCTCAAAAATACCTGCCTTTCCTGACCCAAACTTGTGTCTCATCATCATTAAATACGCCGTATGTATACTCTGAATAACCGAAATGGATCTTCCACCGGTGAATGTTGTATATCACATAGTCGCGCTTTGGTAAATGTCAGAAATATATGCTAGTTAAGTGCTGCTGCCTGGTATGCCCTACATCAATGTTTCCTTACGGTCAAGTGCCCAGAATGCATTGAACCGGTACTCCGAACACTGATGTTTCTCCTAATCTATCCTTAGCAGATATTAAAATAAATATAATAATATCAATGAATAAACTATGATCAAATCGGACCAAAGCGACTATGTGATTGTTAACATTCACCGGTGAAAGTCGACATTCTCTTGATTTCGGTCATTCGTGGTAACATATATATCAATATCATGTCTAGTTTTATATCACGTTTTAATTTTAATGAAGCATAAATCGGGTCTCTGCGGATGAGTAACCCATTGATGAAAGTGATGCACATCCCATCGACTTTATTGTGTGACTTTTTTCAATCGTGCGTGACTCGGATATTGTTGCGATACATCACGGACACATCCTCATCATCACATCCTCAGCACGGATCTAGTACTCCGACGTAACGAACTACGCAGTGGGTGAAAAAAATAAGAAATATGTCACTACGTTCGGGCTATACTAAGGAATCAAATTTCTTGTTTATATTAACCCGTGGTGAGGCCTTCTCTTTTTTAATAGGTATTGATCCGCGTAGTCCTTGGTTCTTTGTTGATGCTGCAGATATCAATGTGGTGGTACCATTGCTTCCTTGGTTCTTACCATTGGTGAATGAAATAGGGTGCGTCATGAAATATCCTATAAATTTTTATGCTATTTGAAGAAAAAAAATTTTTTAGTAAAGTATTAAAATTGTTCTCATTTTTTAGTAAAAAACTACTTTCGTTGATTATAACTACAGGTAAATTTACCTAATTTAGTTGATTATAACTCACGCGTAATAACTCGTTATAAAAATTTGGATGAGCAAAGTAGAAGTCATAATAAACAACAAATAAGTATTTAGATACCGCAGTTACTCCAAACAGATAAGAATCTGAGCACATAGAAATAAATATGGAACATACAATGGGATGACGGAGTGCTGGCCGCTTAAGAAAAGAGCTTTATCAAGGTAAACGGGATCACCGGAAAGATCATTCCTCAGAAGATGTATAGAGTCCAGACTTTTGAGGAGTACATTCACATTGAAACAGAACTCGAAGGCTCCTGTCGAAGAATTCTTTTTAAATAGCAAAGCCTTTTCCAAAGCCGATGTCTCTCCATTGGCCGCGAACTATTGGAAATAGAAACAGAATCATTGCCTTGAATTTCTACGAGGGTAGTTTTCAAGGTTTAGGAGCATAGCACAAATCTTAAATCTAAGTTCTGTCAATAATTGTATTTAAATTTAGTTTATAATAAAAATTTAGTCAATTTATTATTCCATCTAACCCCGTTGATTGAGTGGTAACGCTTCGCATTACCACTCAGTCAACGAGGACGCTGTGGCTTTCTGCCACAGGTCCTCGATTCGATCCTCGGGCCGGGCAAGGTTGACTCAATCTTTCATCCTTCCAGTGGGTAGAATTTAGTTAGTCGTCCCGCCCAATGATATGGGCACTCGATTGTTTCAATGCAATACAATACAATTTGAAAACCACAATAAATACAGTTACAAAAATAAACAAATAATTAAATAGAAATAACAATGACATTAGATTACAGATGATTTCGTTACAATAAAGACAGCCGAACTCCAAAAGCATGAAAGGAAGAACACTTCGAAGGAGGACGGTTTGATGGTTAAAAACATTTAGAGAATATATAATTGATAGCCAAATTACAACAAAATCAATTTAAAAATTAATCGAATTTAAAATAGGAGTATAAAGCAACAATTAAAATTAAAATATCCAGGGCAATTTAGGATCCAATAAATGAAAAAGCAAAAGCACAAAAATTAGAAGCATCAGTGCCCAAAATCATTAAAAAGGGTAAAAATGGGAATTAAAACAAGAGTATAGGTAATTTAAAATCAGTCAAATCAAAGTCAGTGGGTAGATAAAATGATACCAAGAATGCTTGGGAAATAAACACAGGGGGTTCTGCGTTTAGCAGACCAACCGATCGAGACTCATACTCTTGCACTCCTGAGCCCAAAGATCAAGAAAACTGAGATGGGTATAGCTCTTGGGGCCCCTATGAGCTGTCGCGCCACTCAGTTTAGTTTAGTTATAATTCTATCCTATGGTAAAAATGATCGCGAAAGTTTTTCGTAAATACCTTGAATGAAATATTTTTTAAACCAAATCTTCAAGAAGAAAAAGACTTCCCATACGCACACATGTGACCAATGACGTCAGCTAATATTTATGAGCAAAATGGCGAATTAAAGCTTTTCTACATAACTTATAATGTTAATTAATGTGAAGTTAATGAAATACAGAGCGCACATCGAATGAGTTGAAATATGATTCTTTCTCGTCTACTTCTTTAACTTAACTTATCTTTTGTTTATATTGTAACTCTGATATATTTTTGTTTCATGTACCTGGAAACTTCGATACATAATCAAATTGTTTATGTTCCACATGACTTCATGCCTGTCTTTGTGTTAAATAAGTAAATATTGAGTGAAAGAATTGAAAGCTATCTGAAAGATTATAGTGCGTGTCACTTAAGAGAATTGATACTTGACGAGCTTGACTTACACGAAGTTGAAAGGAAAGAACAGTTGTTAATGTAAGCAAAGGGCCACGTTTTAACAACCCATCAGAATCGAGATACCCACACTACATCACTTGCAGTTATCCCATTCATCCAAAAAAAACACCAAAATAATTATAATAATTGAAAAATGAATAAAATAAATAACTTCCTGATGTTTTAAGAAAGGAAGGAATAAGTTTTCAATTGAACGATTATTTGATTAAGACGATGCTAGGCCGCGGATGAGACTTTTCATGTTTAACTCTGTTTTACCTCAATTGGTAATTTAAAGTTTAGAGACAAGTTAGTTCAGATAAACCATGAAGTTTCAAATACTGAAATGAGCATTTATGATATCAAAATGCAGACAAGTTATGGCCGCATAACTCAGTGTTACGTGATAGGGCAGCAATTTCGCATTAATTTCTTTGAATCTTGCTATTTTGGAAATATTTTGTCAGCATACTTTAACTCCCATTTCTCTAAACTCTAAATTTAAAACTGCAAATGTTGGTGGAAGAAAATTTACCATGAAAAGTCTCTTCCTTAGTAATACATTTTAAAATCAGTACCGTTTAAATCAAAGGAACAAACATATTATATCATTTATATTCGTCATAGCTTATGTACCCTATGAATCAAGAAGACACCACCGAATTCAGGGATACCATTGGAAGACACAAAAGTAATTGACCGCACTTTTGTACCTCAAAAATAGTGATACTCCTTTTCAGTGTCACTCGAGGCAGATGTATGCATACTCAATCAGTTTTTGATTTCCGCCATAAACTCCCAATTGCAGTTGTCACTTCTGTTTTTTTCCCTGGTCTAGTCTAAGGACACAGATTTACTGAAGATATCTCGCGACTAAAAATTAGGTGAAAATTACGATTTGCGGATGGATGGGTGGTGTGTGAATGTGTTCAACGTCTGTTATAAATTAACAATTAAGACCTCCAAAGCTTACACTTAATGTGGATTATGCGCCAAATATTAGACTTAATGTGGATTAAGACCTCCAAAGCTTACATTCAATGGCGGTTATAAATCAACAATTAAAACCTCCAAAGCAGTATTTAAATGTCTGAGAAATATTACGGGCAATAGTTGCGACTTAGTGCCAAATATGGAATTGTTAAAACATTTCTTGAGGTCAATCAAACCTCCTAACTGCAACCAAGTAATGGAACTCACGTGAACCATGTGTTTCTGCATGAGGCGCTGTATCATGTTGTGGGCGTCATTGAGACTCATGTAAACGGGAAGTTGGGAGACCACTTTTTGCATGTTTGATATAAGATTCTTCAGTGCAATTCTTTTGCTGTCAGACACATCACTGATGGAAATATCCTCCACCACCAGCTGCTCCACCATCTCGGGCTGTAAAAATTGAATACCACATCTTAAAGAATGCAGTTATTGTATACAAAACAGGTTGCAAATTGTTGAACCTATTTTTCAGCGGGGAAACGATAAAAAGTCGTATGGCAATGATTATTGTGCAGTAATTATGGAATAATGAAATCTCCGCCCCTATTATGCCGTTTTTTGATTATAGTGTCACTTTCCGAGCATGCGTTCGGCTTAGTAGTGGTAATGTTATTGAACCCCATTATGGGGTCGGGACAATATCGGTAATATTATCGAACCAAATACTGTGATCGGTACAAAAGAAGTAGTATTTTTTAACCGACACGAACTGTCCAGTTAACCTAACCACTTAATATAAAATAAATATGGGTGTAGGGTATGCCGGGAATATGCATACCGGACGCTGGCTTTTAATCTTAAAAAGCATCAATGTAGGATACACAGAGTAAATGTATACCAGGCAGCATGCATAGCAATACTTTTACTTACGTTACTTTTCCTTTTTAAGAAATTGTTTTTTTAATTTATAAATTTAATGTATTATCTACTCTTTAACATCTAACTTCCCTTTCCAAAAGTCTTTAAGGAGTGCTATTTCCTGAAGGGGAGAGAGCGGCTAGTGTTAAGGACTGTGAAACTCTTACTTTAAGCGATTTTATGGATTTAATAGATTTTCCCTGTATATTAATACAATTTTTTCACTTAGTTCTTAACACATAAAATCATAATGTTATTAAATTTCCTTAACAAATTAAATTGTTACTAAAAATTCTAAAGGTAAAAAAAATATTAATAGTCCTGAAATGAGCATCATTTAAAATTCTTTTTTCGATGAAAACATTCAATTTTGAGTTCTCGTTTGGTTTCTTTCACTATTTCAATATAATTTTGTAACATTTTCTTGCATTTTAAAGCTTTATACCTTAAAATTAAAATTTAATGCATTTTAAATAAATTTTTCTTAATGAAACTTTTTGAAGAAATTTAAGATTACTTTGAATTTTCTATTTTCTCGAAATGTACTCTATAATCCTTCATTTTGTTTTGTTTTGTAGGTGTACTTTTTGCTGTACCTTTTACTCGTTACTTTTTAAAATCAAAACTTTTCACTTTTTACTCGTTAATCTTTTTTAAAGTACTTTTACTGGTTACTTATTAAAAGTAACGTTTCCATGTATACCGCAAGATGGTACTTTATCTTAAAAAACATCAATGTAGGGTACACCGAGTAAATCTATACTGGGAAGTGACTTAAATATTAATCTAGAGTGTGTATACTGGGCAGTGGTACTTAACCTTCAAAAACATCAGTGTAGGGTATCTCAATTCAGAGATTTCTAATTTCTCATAAGAGGAGCCCACAGTAAGTGCGGCCGCCCTGATTATTAAAACCAAAAATTAAATAGGAAAGAATCGCATGAAAGAACCCAGCACTATAGCAAAATTAAAATCAGTAAACCGGTTGATCGGTGTAATAGACCGTCCGTCATGTGTATTTTTAATCACATACTTTCGTTTCAAACTATATGCACTAAAAATGTTCGCAATTATGGCATTTTTAAACTAAGGTTTTCTCCATTTAATTTAAATTAACAACATATTTAAATTCTAAATTTAGAGAAAAAAAATATTACAACTAGGATCGTTCAATGGTTATTTTGAACTTTCGCTGTTGCTTGGACTGTATTAGTAGTGCTGCATTTGCACCACACTAGAATGGCACGGTTTCGGAAACATGCCATTTTCGAAGACATGCCATCATAATTCCCTGCAGAGGGGATGCCTTCTTTGATCTGAGTGTGGCAGAGATTTTTTCGAATGGTTACTTTTTATATTTCGTATCAAATACGAAAGCAGCAGAACTTTAGTAGCATGAAAACACTCGGAATTATTATTTTTCATCCACTTTAATGGTATCACAAATATTTTAACTGGAGAAACTGCAGAAACAAACAAATTTTGCAAAAAATAAATAATATATTAATATTGATGCTATAATATTAATAATAATGCTTTCAATAATTTCCTGAGTCACAGTTTCGACTTAAACGATTGCTTCGAGGATATTAACGCCAATTCAATATTTTCACACAAAACTCAGACATAAAGATTAATGCCAGGAGTAGCTTTGGCGATCGATTATATGCTCAGAAACATTGCTTTACAAAGTTTTCACCTAAAAAATCAACAACAATTCGAGTGCTCTTGCTCAAAAAAAAAAGTATCTGCATACCACTAAATTTAATTGAATTTTGATGAAGTTCCATTAGCTATTAAGGATCTGTTGTTGATCAGGGAATCGAGCACTCACATTACAATAAGGATCGGTTGTACAATTGGGTCGGTTTTACAACGACGGTTGTAAAATGATAATAAAAATAAAAGTTATGTATTTTGTATACGATCCATTTTCTGTTTGCAAGTCTATTGTTCTAAAATTATATTATGCTAAATAAATAATGATTTAACTTTATTAATTCCAGTATTTAATGCTTGTCAAGCTGTAATTTTAAACAAATATCGCATCTACACCAACTAAACTGAATGAAAGAGTACCTTCAAAAGAGCCAATTGGATGCAAGCTCTTCCAGCAACACTGTGACCAATCAGTATTGCTCGGGGGATGTTCTGATCCCTCATGAACTGAAGAAGATCTGACGTCAAGTGTTGGAGTGTGAACTCATCTGAATATTCACTCTCCCCATGGTTTCTCAGGTCAACAGAAAACACCTGCGGAGTTAATTGTAAACTAACCATAAAGATGCGTTTAATATGTTGCATATTTATGGTGAATTTTTAATGTTCTATAGGTTATTAAGTCAATCCCTTTTGTTTGTTACTATTTTAGATTTAATATTACAATCGAAAAACTACAACTCAATATGCAAAACTATGTTTTTAATACTAATTAGAAAAAGTAAAATATTTCACACATCTGAATAATTTCCTGAAACTTTACATTTTTATCAGTTGATCTAAGCACAAAAATTTTAAAAATTAGCATCCATTCTCAATATAACACATGTTTTAATGCAATTACCGCTTTAGAATATTTTGCTTATTAATCACAGAAATAAAATGTAGCACATTGTTATTTGTGGAAAAATAAAAACTACTGAAAGTTGCTTTTTTTAGTTTGCGCTCGAAAATTTAGGATATTTTATGAATCCCATTCTTTGAGTTTTGAATACTATATTGACCGCACTTTTGTACCNATTGATTTTTGTTATCTAAATTATTTTTATTTAAAGTTTTATAAAATCTTGGTTTTATAGTAGTAAGATTTGCTATAATCAATAATCCCATAAAGCGCTTTTCAAAAAAAAAAAAAAAAAAAAAAAAAAGGCTTGCAGATTAATTATTTCAATCTTCAAACTTATTTCGGAGACATATGACATTTGTGTTCTCCATAATCTATATAATTATACACAGGTTCAAAGTAAAAATAAAATTAAGAAACAAACATGAGTTTTTTATTTATTGATTTTTGTTATCTAAATTATTTTTATTTAAAGTTTTATAAAATCTTGGTTTTATAGTAGTAAGATTTGCTATAATCAATAATCCCATAAAGCGCTTTTCAAAAAAAAAAAAAAAAAAAAAAAAGGCTTTAGTTTTATTTTAAGAAAAAAAACCAACTAATATATATATATATATATATAGTATATATGCTTCAAATCTGCGAAAGAATACAGGATTTCGAAATTAAGGAAGGTGAAAGCTTATGATATTCATATACTACTTTTGAAATTAGTTACCAAAGTTTTTTTTCAATTCGGGGATTTAAGTCTATTTCCCATTGGCTTCAGAAATGCCTTACTCTCTTATCGTTACCCAGTGGGCACCTGTGGTTAAGCCACGGCGGTGAAATAGCCTCGCTCACGTCATACAAACACCGTTTATAGGGTGGGTTACATTCACACAAAGGGAAAAGACATAGAACACAGAGAGAGAGAGATTCTTCCTAGCCTACGGTGGGATTCGAACCCATAACCACTGGGTCCGTAGTCCAGTACAGCAGCCGCTGTATAACGGATCAGCTTAGTTTCAAAAGTGACCACGAAAATTATTGAGTTACTTACGTTATATGAGTCACAAAACTGGACAATTAAATAAGTTACAAAATTAAATTAAATAAGTAACAAAATTGCCATCTTATCAAATGAGTTTCAGAAATTATCAACTAATTCAATTAATTACAAAAGTTGCCAACAGATGGCGTTAGTTAGAAAAGTGACTGCAGTCACAATATCACAAAATCCTTATAAAGAATCCTCGAAGCGCAGAGCAATTATTTTGACAGTTGAAACTCCAAAATTTAAACAAATTTGGAATTTGAGACAATTTAGAATTTGAGGCAATTTAGAATTTGAGACAGTTAAATTATTTTGAGACACGCGAATTTCATGAATAGGTACGGGGATATTTTTATCAGTACACTAAGTACCAGAGCTATATAAATATTGTTTGGCAAAACATAGCTAATAAAAGCAGACTTTCCAATATCTCCGATTCAAAAGGTATCACAGTTATTATGAAAGTGGTATCAAAAGTTCTGATGTAAGCCTTGAATTAAAATGATTTTTAATCACTAAGATACTTATACTCTTTGAAAATAAAATATGCCTTTCAAATTTACGCAATTTTTCCGTTACAATGGTTTCGGAAAACCTTGCTTTTACCTCATGCAAGTTTATTCTAACTTCATATCAAACCGTTGCGTACCTAGATTTTACGAAACCATGGTATTGAATTGAGTAAAAAGATGGAGAGCAGGGGAAATCGAATCACTTTTAGATGCCTATGAAATTTAAGTCAATTGTTAACACAGTAATGTACTGCCTTCAAACATTCAGAAATTTTGGTTAGAAAGTCTCCAACTAAAAAAGCCCCCGGTTCCAATCAACATATTTAACGGGAAAAAAGTGTTTAGTATATTTTGAAACATTAACAAAAGCTTGTTTTTAACATATTAAAACAATACCTAAAATGAGTGTCATTGAACTTATATAAAATGAATGTTCAAGTAAATAGAAACTAAATTAAATTTGTATAGCAAATATCAAAACTTTTCAAATCGAATTTCTCTTTCTTCTCTTGAGTTTTCTCTCGAATCAAATTTTTCTTTTTTTTTCTTTCCTGTCAGTATTTTTACACTGACTTTTTACAAAAGAGCCTACACTGCTTTTCATCTGCAAATAATAAAGCATAGATTCTGTCTGCAGGTAGTTTTATACAATTTCTGATAAAGCGATAAGTACGACTTACGGGTTGGAAACGTTTTAATGCCACTGAATAGAGTAAAGATAATGAAAAGATCTTAGTAATATTACTATTACATTCCCTTGATTGCTAAACAGTGTAAGGATATTGGTGCAATATTGCTAAAGTCAGTGATCGAGAGTATCGCACTACAAGTAGTAAAACTGCTGTAGTCGCTACTTTTTTTCGTTGTTTGTAGTGTCTACTTATATATTTTTTTAAAAAAGTGTAGTGAGTAGTGTTGTTAACAGCGATTGCTGTTAACTACTTTTTGTGTTAGGTTACTAGATGAACAGGGTTTTAACACAATTAATTTTTCGAATTTGATGTGTCAAATCTTCGCGTTTCTGTCAAAGTACGCAATTTTAAATGCCCTCATGTGACTGTGAGTAAACAAGAATTGCTTATTTAGAGTTACGTATAATTAAATTTAATAGCCATTATGAATAATAGATAATTTATCTCTTTGGTCACGTTTTCACATGCGATTGTAGGCCTTTAAATTATTGATGATATTTCAAAGGAAGGAAACATATTCTCGATATACGTAATTTCTTGGAGGAAATAAAAGAGCATTAAACGTTTAACGAAATTTGATAATTTCCTAGCATCTTCTAAATTAAATATTAGCTGTCGAAAAGGGCATAAAAAGTGGGAGACTAAGTGAATAAATTTGAGAGAAATATTTCAGAATAACAAACTGTCTCGTGTAAATGTGAATAAATATTTCTAAATAAATCCCGTGTAGAAGCCAATTTTTTACTCAAAACTTTTTTGAACATAATGTGTAAATCAATTTATCCACCAAAATTCGGTTCCTTAAATAGTTTGTAGTCACTTCATTTCAAAAAGAAAATAAGTTGTAGTTGACTACGTTTCTAACAATAAAGTAGTTAACTGCAAAAATAATGTAGTTCTTCTGACCACTGGCTAAAGTTATTGCAAAAATTCGTCAGAATAATTTGAAAATTTAAGTACTAGAATGATTTTTTTTCGATATAAAATGTTGTTCTCTCACCTTTCGCCTCGTCCTGTTACTGAGCTCACACTTGATTCTATTCCAAGAAGAACTCCCTCCAAACATCCCATGCAAGAGAATGATGGGTGGACGGATGGATCTGTGAGTATCATTTGTTGTGCATGCAAAATATTTCAATCTCACTGGTTGATATCTGATATTGAAGAACAAATAAAAATTAATACTGTCATCATCCCATGTAGCTCAAAAAGCCAATATTAAGTCGATGAAAAAAATTTTGATTCACTTTATGAATTGAAGAAGTTACGTGCAACTGAGGGCTTTGTGTAACTTAGACCGATTGTCAACTTATAAGGGTGATCCACTTGAAACTTTCATAAGCCTGTATAGTTCCCTGTTAAACCTATGAAAATGTTTCGGATTCGCTTCCTAGATGGAAAAAGCTATTCAATTGAATTGAACGCTTGGAGTCACTTAAACAGATGGACATCTTACAAGGTAATCAACTTGACAAATCTTATTGTGGTGCTTCATTTCGTGTCATGTGAAGCTGAGTGCCTAAAAACTCAATCGTTATATAGAAAAATTATTCAGATTGCTTGTATTTTTGCGTTGCAATCTGTTGACATCTGAATAAGGGACAACAATTAGTTGAGTCCAGGTTCACCAAGTCACAGACTACCGTCAAAAATGCAATTAGATACTTACACTTCAAGAGGAAGAAGACCTCCCATACCCACACATGTGATCTATGACGTCAGCACCGACTAATCCTTATCAGCAAAATGGCGTCTTAAAGTTGAACTAAGTTTCTCCACGTAACTTAGAATGTTAATGAATGATAAGTTAATTAAATACAGAACCGTATCGCACATCGAATGAGTTGAAATATAATTCCTTCTCTTCTCTTTTTTTTACTTAACTTTGATTTATTATTTGTTTAGGTATTTTTGTGTAACCGTGATATATTTTTGTTTTGTGTACCTGACAACTTCGATGCATAATTAGTTTGTTAATGTTCCGCATGGTTTTCTTGCCTTTCTTTGTGTTAAGTCTCTGTGTATATATATAGTGAAAGAATTGAAATCTTTGAGAAAGAATCTTTCTGAAAGAATATAGAAAGTGTCACTTAAGAGAAGGGATACTTGACGGGCTAGGCTTTCTCGAAATATAATGAAAAGGCAGTTGCTAATGTAAACAAATGCCACGTTTCTACAACCCATCAGGATCGAGATACCCACACTGCATCACTTGCAGGTATCCCCTTAAATGATAGAAAAAAAATCGGACTTACCTTATGATGACACTCAAATCTTATATCATCAGTTCTCAAAATTAAAATCGAGCGACTTAAATAATTTTTTCTATATAATGGTCAGATTTCCATGTGCCATGTTTTACATTACAAGTTACGAAGTAAAGAAGCATCAACTTAATACAGTAACACCTACCAATTGGATCACAATTTGATGGTCTTGTAAGTTGACCATTTATCTAAGTTGAACTCTGCTATCAAGAACTGAATTTATCCTTTATTATAAAAATGAACAAATCCTCAGTGGCCTTACCATCTGATAATTTTGCATATTGACTTTAATAGTGCTTTCCCAAGAGTTCAATGGAATACTCTTCCAAACCCATCATAAATTAACCACAATTTAAGAAGTTTGCAAAAAAATTGGTTTGTTGTTGACAAATGCCGAACCTTGACTATCATGTCATTAGCTCTCGAGGTTTTCAATAATTAAAAAAGTTGACTAAAGAAGGAGGTTTCTAATGCGTGTGACAAAATGTTGCAGTTACATGCTCTCCTCTGTGTTAATATTTTATGAAATTATTTATACATAGTTAAGTAACTGGGCATGCATCACTGACAAAACATGCATATTTGTTTAATTTTGTAACCAATTAGACTAGCATTGAGTTTGCATAACAAGCTGTGAATTATTCTATTAAATCTCATGATTCATCACACAGCGGTAACTCATTTCTTTACTCTTTCAGGACCGCGACCATAGATATCAGAAGACGAGCTTCTCTCTTGGTATAAGAGACAAGCTTTTCCAACTCCAGTAGCCCATGATCACACGGAATTGATTTCAATTTGAAACGTTTTATTTCAATTTTTTTAGTGACCCTTGAGAGTGGTTGACGTCTGTTATAATTTTGAACAATGTGTCTCAGAAGGTTGACCTTCATTATACGCTATCGGTACCAATTTTTTTTTCTTTTTTTTTTCTTGCTTTCATTTGGGGTGTTTAAACATGTCAACAACTGTTCGAGGAGATTACGCTCATGAATTTCTGCGCTCTGAGTTTTTTTGTGTATTCGGTAAAGGCAAGTGGTAAAGTGGTATTTTGTAAGAGGTAAAAAGTATGAATTGCTTATTGGTTTATTAGAGTGTAGTTTGCTAGATATTATTTTGTATGTTTCGAGTCAGTTTTGTAGTTTTGTGAAATGTCGTGAACATTTTATAACTGTATCTTCAGATACAATTAGAGATATTAAACTATAAATCTAAGTGTACTTAATTGAAATGATGATTTTATATGAATGAATGAAATTATGCTTAATGGGACAAAGCTCCCGGTCCTTTACGTACGTTTATACTCTCGGAATTTACGAGCCATGGGAACGTTTCATTCACTTTTTGCCAATTCTGAACAAGTTAAGATCGACGTGGTATCTCTCTCCATATACATAAAATTATCGTGACGTTTATTGTAAGATGTTTCATCCATCCACATTGAGTTGCTCGGGTGCAAATTTTAAAAATGTGTTTCAGCGTTGTACCGTCATAAACGGAACATCATTACGAAGTGCTTAAAAAAAAATCAGGTGAATCTCGTGAACGAAATACCTTATTAAGGTTCTCAAAGTTCATAATTTAAATTCTGAAGTAAAAACGCGAGTAGAAACAATTATAAATGCCAAATAGAAATGATCAAAATTTAAAGAAATGCTACAGTTAACCATCAGAAGTAATTTTAAACATGCTTGTTCCTCCAAACGGCATTTCAATGTTAAGGATTTTAAAATTAATAAATCCTAATAATAAAACATTTTCTGGTCAAATATTAATAATAATTAGTATTATTGACATTTCTTTGAACTCACATTTTAAATTCTATAGCTGCATATAACTATTCTTTGACATTAAAACTACATAACACAATATAAACATATTAATAACGAGATGATGGGTTCTAGAAGCAGCTAGATTCATTAAACGAGAAATTATATGTTTATGTATTCATATTTAAGGCCTACACCTTAAATAATGTGTCTAGACGTTGGGAAAGGAAAAAAAAATTAATAATAGCGTCATTGAGCTAAATTGCTTTTTATTTGTTTAAAATTCATTGTTTTAGATCTGTGTATTCTTTTAACAGTTCGTTTTTGTTTTGATGAAAGAAAAACCCTAATGAATAAAATTCATTGCTTACCATAATTTATAATAACAAATAAGTGCACAGTTTGGTTTTAAGAAAATTGCTCATTTATTATCCAAAAAAGTGCTATTGAGATAATTAGCTCATTTGTATTTTTTTTAATGTGAACATATGCTTTACTAAACATTTCAATAAAAAATGTACCACAAAACCACACGAACATGAATGAGAACATGAACATTAAAACCACCCTCATTTAAGCATTATGAGTTTATCTTTACATATTTTCTTGATTTCTGACGGAATGATTTTAAATCTTATAATATGCGAAAATCTTCTTATTTAAAAAGGTGTACAAATCAACTGACCTCCGGAGATCACTCATTTTAAAATAAAATTTCTGAAGTTATTTTAGAAATATATTGCATTTTTCTACATTTTGAATGGGGATATATAAAAATAACATGATATAAGAAATAGATGATATAAAAATAATGACTTATATATTTTTGAAAGTTGAACCACTGAAGCGACATCCCACAAGCGATCAACTTACACAAATTTCAGTGTATATTTGCAATAATTGGAAGAAAATTTCCAAAAAATCTATATATATATATATATATATACTTCCAGTTAATTATAAGCAACTGAACTTTTTGGCAGTTATTTATTGAAAAAATTGTATATAGCGCATCATTTACAAAAAATTGAACAAAACTTCTAGATAATGAATGAAATGGTAAGTAAATTTTGAGGAAAATACAAACACTGCTTAAATGCCTTAATTAAAATAATGGTTCAAGAACAATTTTTTTATTTTTGCCTAAAATATGTTCTCCATCATATAGACATAATATAGAAGCACTGTTACATGGAAAAATTATTAAATTATCTAGTAACGAAAGAAAATGGTTCTGCACTTTTAAATAACAGTAGACGTAAAATATTTTTTACTATTTGTTTGCCCGTATTTCTTATGAAATAGCACCATAGTTACCATAGCAACGCAAAATAAAGGAAATTTTACAAGATGAAAAAGAGGCGATACTTTAGTTACCAAAAATATGCAACAACACTTTTTTGGTAGACAGAGTATAAAAGCTACATTTCTCTTAAAAAAACAAACATTCTTTAAGAAGCCAGGCTATTTTAAAAATTTTTTATTTAGCAATGCTTTTGTCTTAAATCTGTGTGTAACACATTTTCATTTAAAATTAAAAATTTGTCTTGGTTATGGAATGAATTTATATTATAACATTTTATAACTTTTATATTCTCTTCAAAACATAATTTCTATTTCGCATAGTACCTGAAATATTTGTTCAATTTTCTTCAATGATATTCAAAATTTGATTTTTTAAATGAATAACTGCAAAAAAATTCAACTGATTATTACTAATAGGATTTTTTTTAAAATTATTTTAACCAGTGTCTAAACACATGAAAGACTATTCAATGCAAAAAAAAAAAAAATTATATCCACTTGCGATTTTTTCTGTGACAGCTAGCGAATTTCGACTCAATAAGGTCTTCACTTTCATCAAAAGAAATAAAACAGGACTACATATTAAATATCTAAAATTCGAAGAGAAGCTTTTTTAAACATTATATACTATTTGACTGAAAAAAATTGTCCAGACTTAAGAAACTAAAAATTCTCAATTTTTGCACATTTTTATAAACCAAATAATGCAGCATCGGAAAAACTTTTTGATTGATAAAAATTTTGTGCTATGTTTTGCAGCTATGAATAGTTACTATAAACTCACAATAGTTACAAAAGTCATTTGCTACAAAAAAAAACAATATTTCATGTAACGACAGAGGCTGTGAAGTAAAGCCTTAAACTGTTTGCGTCTAAGCGTTCGAAGACGTTACCAAAAGGAATTAAAACTTTCCGCAATATTAATTAGACTCTTAAGACTATCACCTAATACAATCAGACACTGTGATTTGCAGAATTTAAAATGACTCACCACTGTTAAATAAGAATAGCATATGATTTTTTAGAATAATTTCGCTCCATTAAAAATTTGAAAGACTTTTGATTTAATAATCAAATTCTTAAAAATTAATTCTTATGTGTTTAAACAATAACCTCAATTGTAACCAAAATAAATATCACTTACCTTTTAATCAAATCTTCTGCCATTTTCTTTTCAATTACAAAATCGAATAGAGTCAGGATCGGAACTAAATGGCTATGTTCTACTTCAGAAAAGTAAAATAAAAGTAACGAATTTTCTTCGTAATAAGCAATTAAGGATAGTAATTATGTTTCACAAGACGTTTCCTAACGATTTAGGAAAGCAGACTGAAGGAAAGTTCCTAATTGGTTACATTTCATGGCAACGCCATTTTCTCCGTGTTCCAAAATAATAGCATTATGGTATTCTTTCACTCGTGTTAATTTGATTTGGATAGAAATAGCAATATTTGATAATCTTGTAACTCTCATCAAGGCGTAGTTTTTCGTTCTTTAACTTAGAAGAAAATGAGCTGAATTCTACAGAAACGCCATTTTCTCTGTGTTCTAAGATAATAGAATTATTGGTTTCTACAACTCGTGTTAATTTGAATTGTAAGTAGAAATAGCAATATTTGACATTCTTGTACTTCTCAGAAAGACATTATTTTTGGGTATTAAAGCTGGGTAAAAATGAGTGTGAAAATTATTGTATTCTACCTTGTATGTTTATTGGAACTGTTAGTGGATAATATGAAAAACTAACCTTTGCTGCATTTCTCACATAGGGTTGATTTTTAGCAATTATGTTGGAGAAAATATATCGAATTCCATAGAAACTCTTTTTTCTCCAGCTATAGCATCGTTATATGCTATTATACATATCAACTTGAATTTTAAGTAGAAATAGCAATCTTTGGTCCTTTATTTAATTTTTTTTATTTATTTGTATACATTTTGTTTGGTATATTGGACTTGGAAAAACTAAGAGGTAGCACACATTTTAGGTTATTAAAATTTGTTCATTTAAAAAACAGAATCGAACTCTCTCATTCACTGATTTGATTCCCAAGCTCAATAATTCTTCTCTTTAACAATTCTTTAATAAGCCCATTAAGTGAGTATCTTATTCATTTATTTAAGTATTCATTCCCCCTTTTCTCTTTTTTTATTGATCAAATTAATGGATAATAATTATTCAATGTCTTATTAACAAACTAATTTTATTTTTGAGATTAGTGTATGTATACATTATAAATTCCCGATTCTTAATTTATAATCTTGAAAATTTAAAAATTAAGTTAAAATTAATTATTTCATTAATTAATTAAATATTAAATGATTAATCAAATATGAAATTAATTTATTAAAATTTACTGATTCTTACGTATGTCATATCTTACTATAATTATTAATTTTAGTGTTACTAAATGCCCAAACCGGTTGGTGGCTACTTTGCACCATTTAGTTTAAAAGAATATTGTTTCACTATTCTATGGCTCCTTGCTGTAGGGTAACTGTAAGTTATCTCAGATGATTCACAGCACCACTTTCGTATAAAACAGTTGTCGTACTTGGTTTGAGGATACGTTAAAATTTATAGAATGCAACCAGTGAAACTAACCTAAAAGATGAAATGATCAAAGATTGTACCAATTCGCTGTTCTATATTAAATGGCACTTCAGTGTAGTGTTAAAGGGCGAATTACTGAAGACAAACACACATAAATTAATGCAGAAATTACATAACACACAAAATTACAAACACACATAATTTTGCAGAAATTAATTTTATTTTATTTTTCTTTCACAGAGAAATGCCTTTCTTGGATGATTATCACAGCTGCAATGGTTAAAAAGATATTTCTATCATTTGTTCACTGGTTAAGACTTCTTTTGTGTTTTCACTTTGTAAAATGAATAAAGGCATCGTTGTGACAATTTTCTTCTTCTTTCACTCTAAAAATGGTCCTCAGCCGCCGAAAGAAACACTCACGCACATTTGGCTCAAACAATTCATATTACAGTGTTCTCATGGGTCTTAGAAATTTGAAAAAATTTTAGAAAACGTAAAACAAACAAAGATACTTCAAATTATTTCTGACCACCCACTGCAGATTATTGTTTCATTAAAAACATAGATACATTTTAATTTCCAGCGGCCACTTATCATAACGCTAAAAAAAAGTATCCAAAAATAAAAAAATTTGATTCCAAAGCTTTTGTGATTTTTTTTATAACCATTATTAAAGTTTTCTAAGATCCATCAGAAACCTGTATTATTAGTAAATTATTAACTTTTTACAATAAATTATGCTTCAGCAAAATGCATTATGAATGAATTTTAAATAAATCTCGATGCTTTGAATTTTACGGGAAAATATATATATATATACTTAGAGGACGCAAAAACTATTTCATTTTAGAAACAATTTTAGGAAACAAAAACTGAATGTGTATCCAAATGAAATATATTATATAAGATTCTAATTTCAGAAAAAAATTAATTTCTTAAGGCATAAAGTAAAGCATCATTTGAAGTAAATTTTAAATAGATTTTTCTCTTTAAAAGAGATTTTCACATTTATAAATTTATTAGTTTATTTTTTTTAAATTACCAAATAAAAGTTATAAGATAATCTAAGTAATCAAGATCTTTCATATCTTGACTAAAAACCTAATAAATTTGATAAAAATTAAAAAATTGATAACTATGCTTTTCAATGTATGTTTAAACTTTTTAAAATGACTATATAAAGACACTATAAAATTTCTTTGTAGATCAAAAAACTTCAAATTGGGTGAAACAAAATTGAAAAGTTCCCCTGTTTGTATTTTTTACTATACATCATATTTTTTTCTACTTAAATAAATTAAAGTAAGATTTAAATATGTTCGATAAATTATCTAATTCCATTGCTTTTACACAAACTTTTGATAAGGAATAAATTTTTGCCAAATGCATCGACACTTGATAATTTTTCTAACCTTATTTTTTCGTGAGTAGTGTGAACACTTCATTTGAATAATTTTCTGCTGGAGACATATTTACACGTAATAATTTATAAACATTCTAAGACAAACACACAAAACAGCAATAATACATCGGTGTATGTACATCGTAGAATAATGTCAACAGACTATATAATTAAAAGTCAACAGCTACACTAAAGTGGATTTCGGTGGTTCATTGTTCACATGCTTTTTATCACATTTATGATTAAATGTCACCCATACAGTTCAAATCCACGGTAAACTCACTACATGTCATGGACGGCTTGTTTAAAGCATATCTAGTAAATGTTCGCGGTATTCTTAATAAAGGAATGTTCAAGCATTGAATGCCGTTAATAGTCACAGAAAAGAACTTTTCCATTCAATAGTTATCGAATATTTTATGGTTTACTCAAACGTTTCAGTTTAACTTTGGTGAATTGAAAAAAATTGTTTCCAAATGATTTCTTCGTTAAAATGAAAGAGAACCGCTGAAGCTATTGAGAAACGTAAAAAGAGACGCAACTCACCTAATGAGCTCCAATTCAGGATGAATACTTAAATCTTTTTTTTCAGTTTAATGATAAATATTTAAAGAGTATACAATTTATTAATAATTATTTAAATCGTTTTCAACTTAATGATAAATATTGAAATAATTTTTATTTTAAAGAAAAATATTTTAATCGTTATCATGTTACTGATATATTCTTAAATTGCTTTAAATTTACCGAATCTTTTTATAGTTTAAAGGTGATTAAGTAAATTTCAAATGAATGATAAATATTTTGATAATTTTCTATTAAAAACTAATAATTTAAATCGTTTCCATTTTAATAATAATACCAAACAGAACTATTTTACATTTTGATTAAGCTCTAAAAAGAGACATAATATTTAATTTGAATAATTTGTTCAATATTTTTAAGAATTAATATTTAATCATTTTTGTTAGAGAGATTCTTAATTTGAAAGTTATGAATTTCTTGAAGACATCAGTGCGTTTCATAAGAATTATCAGTCAAAACCATGACTATCCATCGAAAATTAAAATTATGACTATAAACAAAAATCGTAACAACTATCAAACGAAATTATGACTATCAACCCAACACTAAAGCTCCCTGAAACGACAATCCACTAAAAATCATGAAAACTCAGTCAAAACCGTGACTACCCACTTACGAAACTGTCAGTTGAAATGATCAACCGAAAACCATAAAAACTCTTCGTAGTCATAATGGTTATCAATCGAAAATCACAAATCAGACTATCAGTAGGAAAGTCGTAAGGAATTGTTATTTTCGTTTACCATAAAAGGCCGATAAATGTCGAATGGAAATACTTTTCACAATTCACAACTAAAAATGAATCACAGTATCATTCGTTGTGATGAGTTTTCAGAGGGACCCTTTTTGGTTAAATAACAATATAGTTAAATCTCAGTTTCTCCATAAACCAAACAATTTTCCCCTGGCTGGTCTTTTAGGGGGTTGTGGCTGGACGACATCCGGGGATGTTTTCTGTCTTTTGTCCTCTTGCTCTTGGGTTTTGAGTTTCTTCATCACTTGATTGTCCAAAAGAACCTCCATGTCCATCTAAAAGAATTAAAAACCATAAATGAATGGCAAAGAGAAATTTTTTAAACTTAAATTTAATAAACAGAAATCTCTTTTTTTCAGCTATAGAATCCTCAATACAATATAGCGGAAATTATATTGTATTAACGCTTTCTATTACTTTAACATAATATATTGTTCGTGTGCACAGAAGAATTAAAATTTAATACTCAGAAATTAAAACATTACTTCCTTTAAGTAAACATATACTAGAACATAACTTCACCCCTATTCAGAATGTAAAAAATCATGAGGCTTTTTTTGTAAAGTCAAAATAATTCGGACATTTTAAAGTTAAAGTGATGATTTTGTTTTGCCTAAAACTGATTATTCACTTTTTACTAAAAAAAAAAAAAATAATAGTGAAGTTTCTGAAATTCTTAAATACTAGATGAATGCCCGTTCTTCCTTTTTCTTAATTACTATTCCTTGTCCTTTCCGGTGACTTTACGTTGTTTGATTTAGAAAAACACGTTTTAATATATCATCTCATTAAAATGACGATTAACTTTATTCAGTATCACCTGGCATAATGTTGCTGCTCGACGCAGACTCATGATGTTTTAAATTTACCACATTCATGTGATTTTCCTCTGTACTTTTAACTTTTCAATGCAATTAATAAGGAACATTTACTTATGAGAAAGATAAATCCATTATTTTATAACCATTTGGCACCTATTCGATAAAAAATTAGGTAAGACGCATCACGCAAATAATAAAATAACAACTTGAAGAATAATATGAATAAATAAATTAGTAACATATTAGATTAAAAGAAATTGATTGTTGAAACTCATAGTATTCATAATTAAGTTCTAAAATATGATATCATGCTTATATTAACAAAACTTAACTATAATTAGAAATCTAAGAAAGACTATAATTTTTACAAATGTATTGTAGTAATCTACACAAATTCATAAAAAGTCCATTGCATCTACATAATATTAATGACCTAAAATTTCTTAAATCACCGAAAGGAGCATTAAAATAAAAAATAATACCATCAAAAGTTTTCGAAAGCATGCTCTGCATGTAAGTTTTTTTAAATAAATATATATACATTTAACGTAGATTTATAAATGTAATAAAAAATAAGTTATTCATTAAAATAATGTTCAACATCAAAACGTGTTATTTGAGTATTCACAAAATAACAAGATTCAATGCAAAAGTTAAACTAATTTATGAATAAAAAAATACATTTTAATCAAAATATTCTAAAAACGAAAAATTTCATGCAAAAAAATACGTAAAAAAGGAAAAAATCTAAATAGAAATGTCAAATTCAGTTAATTGATTCATATATTATAACAGCAGCATACATGGCAATACTTTTATTTTCGTTACTTGTAACAAAAGTAAAAGTAAAAAGTACGTATTTTTACTTGTACTGTGTTGCTTTTTAAATTTAGTACTTTTCGTTGTTTTTTCGTTACCTTTTTAGGAAAAAGTACAAGTATTTGTAACGAGAATGTCGTAAAAAATCGCTACTTCTTTCAGAAATTTTTCAAAACTTTCTCTTCACAAAATCTTTTTTTTTTCTAAATTTTTGAGATTGTTTTTAAATTTATAAATTTTATGCATTATATATTCTTTAACAGCTAACTTCTTTTTCCAAACATCTTTAAGGATTGCAATTTTCTGAAAGGGAGAGGGCGGCTGGTGAGAGGGAACGTGAAACCCTTACTTTAATGGATTTTACCTGTATATTAATACAATTCATTTTACATAATTCTTTAAACAAAAAATTATTATGTTAATGATTAAAAATTATTATTATTATGTCATTTTAAAGTTTTATAGCTTTAAATTAAAATGTAATGCATTTTAAATTAATTTTTCTTACATTTTGTAATGAAATTTACAATTACTTTGAAGTTTCGATTCTTCTCGAAATGTATCTTAAAATCGTTACTTCTTTTGAACTTGTACTTTTTACTCGTTACTTTTTAAAATCAGAACCTTTAACTCGTAACTCTTTCTTAAAATACTTGTTACTTTTTAAAGGCAACGTTCCCGTGAAGGAACAGCAGACATTGAAAGACAATTAAGGAAAGGACAAAGGGGCAATCACACTGAAGCAACATTTGTAAAGAAATAATGAATGAAGTCACCTTCCACTGTTCCAACTGTTGTGAAATTTCGACTTTCTGTTGAACAGCTTCCATCAGTTGACTGTTGATATGCATCACATCGATCCTCGTCCTCGCGAGTTCTATCTCAACAGCATTTTTTCTGAAATGTTCAACATTTTAAAGGTATTGTTTCATAAATATATGCTTTTTTTTATTTATTTTACTACATTTTTTCTGAAATGTTCATTTTTAAAACATTTCAAAGGTATTGCTTCATAAATAAGTGCTTTTTTTTTACTTATTTTACTAAATTTTTCTGAAATGTTTATTTTTTAAAACAATTTAAAGGTATTCTTTCATAAATATATGTTTTTTTACATTTATTTTACTACATTTTTTCTGAATTGTTCTTTTTTAAAACATTTTAAAGGTATTGTTTCATAAATATATGCTTTTTCTTATCTACTTTACTTCAGAACAACCTTTACTACTTTTAGAACTACTTTAATTTGTTGGCTGAACTTCTCACTTGATTGATTTGGTAACAATTTAATTCGTTGAATAGATTTTTTTTTCAAGTGCAATTCACCTCCACGAAATTGCCGCTTTGCAATTCCACATTGATTCACACTTTACTTTATTTTTACTATGATGTAAACATTGAATGTTATGCGTTTGTTCATTCCATCTTTCTTCATCTAGTTTATTTGCAGTTATAAACACTAAATTTATAAGTTCAGTTATTTATGAGACCAGAAGTTCAAATTCATGGTCAGTAGGTAAAATTTTGAAAATCTCACCGAGTCAAAACAACAACAAAAAATAGTTCTGAAAAATACATTTTAAATAATAAGCTAACTGAATTTCTTTTTATACATCAATCCCCAAGATATTTTAATGTAATACTACTGGAGAAAAAAAAGGGCCCTCTTATGTAAGAATTCTAATTCAGAGGGATAAAAAGAGTGTTCACCTTGCAACGGCTTGATCTCGGACCTCCCACGCTTTCTTGACCACTTGATCTTTAGCCAAAGAACTGTTGTCCATGTCTGTCCTTAGCTGATCTCTTGTTTCTTTCAAAGCAGATAATTCTGCTTCTTGAAGTGTCACCTGCACAATATGCAAATGAGACAAATATGCTTTTTGATATCCATTAAGTAATCAATTTAGTAAAAAACTTACCGCTAAATAATCAATAAAAGTAAATTAATAAAAGGAAATTAACAAAAAAAAATAATATAGTAAATTAATCTCAGTAAAATAGTCAACAGAGATTAGTTATTAACAGCAAAAGAAATATTAAAAGATTAAATTAAAACAGGAAAAATCAATAGGGGTTTATTAAAAGCTGCGAACTAATCATTGACTAAAAATTAAATACACGATAATAAATTAATTTTATTAAATGTACTACGTGAATATAAAACATCATTAGGTGTTTGTATGATGATTATTTTTAGAAATGATTAGAAATAAGAAAAAAAATTAAAGCCCTATTTTTCAATTTAGTGAAAAATTATAAACCAAAATCTGGTAATTATCCGTTTTGGATTAATAGGTGGTAGGTTAATAAAGAACGAAACTTTATACCACAGTACCTATATTGGGAATCTATGCTAGTGTATTTAAAAAAAAACTAATAAATCTCCTGAACCTTCCTTGCAGTGCTATTCCTCTAACCGCTCTGAAGTATGGATGTAATGGGTTCGATTCCTCCTATAACACTAGATATATAATCTTACTGTCTCTCTTAAAATTGTGCTAAATAGGTATGGATTTTATTTATGATCTGAGAAGCATCGATGAGATGATACGAAGACATACCATCACAATCTCGATCCTCTGAAAACAGAATCTCTGTCGGGAGGCTACTTACTCAATTTAGACATAGATATGAATGGGGAAGGAAATTTTCTCCTGATCCCTGTATCCATTGTACTGCTCAGTGGCCCACTACAGGACTTTCGATTCCACAGATTTTACGAGCACGTATATCGCATGTACTCACGTAGAATCAAAATAAAACCCCGGCCTCTTCAGACAGGATTCTCTAAGCACTGGGCTACCGCAGCACAGGCTTTTTAAGCCGTTCTTTGTATTTAGAAAGAAACCCTTATATGCATATGATTAAATAAATAAATCTAATTATCCCCATTAAAGATGGATAAAATGGGGGCAATAACTTAATATATATGAATTTAGCGTGTTTAAAACACTTTAATTAAACATTTGAAATCATCTTCTATATCCCTTTTCCGCTTGTTAATATTAAGAAACATATTAAAAAGAGAAATAATTAACCGTCATCTAACGTTACCATTTAAATAAACCGTTATTTTAAGTAAACCATCAACAATGAGTGTAAACAGATTATTACCATTCTATTTGGCAAGAAGCATGGACATGAAAAAGTTAAAATTACCCTATAAATGGTGAAATAAAAAATAGTTTTGCGGAACATTTCGGTAATGTATCGTTGTATTTTAGAGCATGTCATAAAAACTATTTATTTGGTAAAATGCACTTTTCAGTTTTGCATTTTTACTAAATGTGTAAGAAATATAAGAGATATGCTTTTAAAAATTTCTCTTAACCGTTACCATAAAAAAAAAAGAAAATTTATCAAATAAATAGTTCAAATTACAGTATATTTTGATTTCATTACCAAAATTGTCTCTTGATTTTTACTAGAAATGTCTTAACCATTCAAATAGGGCAATAATTCTCCGAATATAAAACAATGAATTATTTCAGATAAATTCCTACTTTGGCAATCAGCTTGGAGATTTCTTCAGTTTTTCGTTTGACTTCTTCATTCTTTTCGAGCAACTCTTTCTGAACTTTTTCCAATGATTCTCTGTCTTCTGCAAGACTTTGACAAGAAAGACACATCTGAAAACAAAGCAATGATCATCATTTAATATAATTTATGGACAGAGTTAAAATAATAATCTGTTACAATAAAGCAGTCAAAATTTATGTAATATTATTTTCATGCCATAAAATTATTACACGCTTCAATTAGGTTTAAAATTTTCTTTTTCAAAACTTACGAGAGTAAACTGAAATAGTTAAAATTTAATACATAATACGAAATGTAGATATTTAAGATGTAAATGAAAAAAAAATGTTGATAAAGCGTAAAATATAGATAATTCAGTCAACGGTCATAACACTCCTGACAAAAACAACCAGGGTTCGAATCTTAGCGATTACTGTTTGATCCTTACACTGATCCAGATCTACACTGAATATAGTGTTCCGAAAAAGATGATCGGCATTCTAAGTCAATATCCGTGGTCTTCTCTTCCATGCAACTAATTTATTTGACGCAACTGAAACCATAAGTTTACAAGCTTGAATCCTATACAAAAGATGACTGGAATTCAAATGAACAAAAATTTTCCGAATTGATAATTGGAAGAACATTTCATACATTCTGTCCTATCTGGCGAATGGTATCAAGTTTAAACGTATTTTCTCTTTTGTACATCCAACCATAGCAATTGTATTTCTCGTTTTCCAGAGTTAAGGTCAATACTATGGGAAAGTAAATCATGGATTGCAGAAACCTAACCTTTAGAGCTACTTGAACTCAAAAATGGATCTTTCTTTTTCATATATCATTGAATTAAAAATAATAATTGCAATAACTTTCATAAACTCGATCGAACTCAATTCAAAGTAGGAGAATTCTAAATATACTTTCAATCCTCTTTATTCGAAAATTAACTGATTTTTACTCTAATCAGTCATATCTTTCAATGCACGTAAAATACAAGGCCGTCACCCTATCACAATTTGAAATATAAAGCGTACGGCAATTTAGGGAGTAAATTAAATAGTATTGTTAGATTAAAATAGATTAAAATAGTATTGTTCCAACCTAAATTATATTTTCTTTCTCTTTATTTTCTACCCAAAGTAAATTTTCTTCTCTCTTATTTTATACTTTTTTTAAAAGGTATTATGCTCTGTCGGATTATATCATCAAAAGTTAGTTGAGTACAAGAAAATAAAAATTAAAAATTTAACCTAAAATTTGAAATGAAGAGTGTAGAGACTTCTTCAAGCGTAACTATTGTAGATTTTTTTTTTAAAAAAATAGTACATCAGGACCAGTTTATTTTTATGTTGATAATTTTAAAAAAAATGCATTCAAAAGTTAGAAAGAGTAGGTCCAAATCACTCCTATTTATGATACTCGAATATAAGATTTCTCGGAGTCGTAGTGGCTCAGGGGATAGAGCGTTCGCCTTCTAATGAGGTGAAACGGGTTCGAATACCACCGATGGCTGGTCAATTTGAATTCCACACCCGGTTCGCACCGACCACAGTGCTGACGCAAAAATATCCTCAGTGGTAGACGGATCATGGTTTAGAGTCCTCTTAGCGTCAGGCTAACCATGCGAAGTTTTGGTGGTTTTCCTATCCATGTAATGCGAATGCGGATCAGTTTCATCAAACATTTCTCCACAAGGGCAAATTTCTCCCACTACTTGATCCAGGAGTTTCCTTATCTTCTGGATCGGGTTCAAAATTGCGAAACTGCTGAACATGAGCAGTCGTAAACCCAGAATCGCGTTCAACGACGGTTATCAAATAAAACCTCGTCTTTTGAATTCCTTTAAAACTGAACACAGAACATACACAGAAGAACAACTATAGAAGAAAAGGGGCAGGGATAGCCTGGTGGGTAGAGCACTGGGTCCATGCCAAAGAGATCATGGGTTCGATCCCCGCTGGCCGGAGATGGAGACTGATGCACATTAAATCTGTCGAGTCACAATGTCTTCCATGTTCACATACCTCTGGGGGTACTGATCCAGGAGTTTCCTTGTCTTTTGGATCAGGTTCAAAATGACAAGGCTAAGGAGCTGAACAAACCCAAAATTGGGTCGGCTGATCAACGACGGATGTAAAAAAAATAAGATATTAAATATAGAAGAAAGGAAAGAAACTCACATCGTCATCGTGACAGAAGATGGCTTCCTCGATGAGATTCCTGAGTTCTTTCGTGATAGATGTGAGAGCACCGAGTCGAATCTCAGATGCCTGGATTTCTTCTGGTGAGTGAGTAGAGATGCCGCTGTCGGCAGAACTGTAGTTCTCTCGACGTCGTCGCAGGTCCTCACACAGGCGACGCAGCATCCTGTAGATGGGGACCAACTCTTCTCGGAACTTTAGGTGAGAGGAAAAACATTTCAAACAATTAAAATAGAATACAAAAATTGAAAATCTGCAGCTTTAAGAAAAATAACGAGTTCATTTTTTCTTTTTTTTTAAATAAAGTAAAAATGAAAAATAAGGATAGGCTATTTTTGAATGAAAGATAAAACTTTAACTTAAATAAGGGTGGGAGCATACTTTGTTCTGTGAATGAATAAAGTAACAAACAACGTGAAATAACGCATAAATAATGGCACAGACATCAACATACTATAGTTTCGGTTCGATAAACACAAACGATGACGTTTTGTGTTTCGACACTGAGGAACGTTGTTGAAGAATCAAAACTATTATTTTTTTTTCAATTCCCACCTTTGTTAACATCCGCCAATTCAGGCATATACAGGGCAGATTTGTTGGCCTCTCTTTCAGGGGCACCCCATTAGGTGGGCCAACGTCGCTCCTACAGGGAGGACAGAGAAGGAAAGAACGTCCATGCCTTGCCCGGGATTCGAACCCAGAACCTTTCTGGTGCAAGGACAGTTCCCTGCCCCCTACACAGGCCGGTTGGCTAGAATCAAAATTATAGTATGCTGATTTCAGCTTTGTACCATTATTTATCCTCACTTGTTTGTCGCTTTATTTAACGTTAATTGTTGCTTTATTAAAAGATGCGTATCATGCAACATAATTTTACAGGGAAGATAAAACTAATTAAAAATCTTCCTAAGACATAACTAAATCAACACAAGGGTCGACTGACGAATTTAACAAGTTGCCTCTTAGTAGAAATATCATTCTTTCTAAAATTTTATGTATGTTTTGTAGCACGTTACAAATTTAAACATTGTACAAAACTCCTATTGAGTTTTAAATGAGTTTAAATAAATAAAAACGGCACCCTTTGGGTCTTAGAGAATGCGTCTTATACGACTCTCCCAAAGTGACTTCTATGGAAGATGATAAAAGGGGGTGTTTTTTTAAGATTTCTTTAAGATATAGTAAAAATGTACCTTCCAGGTATCTTCAGTGTCCATGGCACAATCGTCGCATTCAATATCGTCTTCTAGGAAATCTCCATGGAAACCGATTGAGGAACTAGGATGAGAAGGAATTTTCGATCCTTCACACTGAAATGGAAAAACGTCATTAAAAAGTGTTTCTGCCCATTCAAAGGTGATTCATGAAATGTAACTCTTTATTAATAATAAAAGTCCCTCATAATTAATATTGAATTTCTACTTTAACGGAAAAAAATTAACAGTTGCGTTTTGCATTATGAAACATTCGATAAAAGATCTTTGTCATTGATTTATTCTGAAAAATATGAGAAGAACATTAAAAGAGGATTTTTTTCTGGTCATGCATACAAATACTCATTTGTTTTCTCTTCCTTTTCTTTAACGCCGTCACATATAATTCATCTTTTTGCTGTGATTTCTTTAAGGTATTATCTAGTTACCAGCCTGTCAGGTGTCCGAACGGTTAGCCAATGGCTCTGAAGCCAATGGCTATGGGTTCGAATCTCGCTCAGTGCATGGATGTTTCTCTCTGTATGTAGCCGACTCTTATAAACGTTTATCTGTGGAGTGGGTAATGTTGCTCGCTTCCCGTGACTTAGATTCACAGGTGCCCGCCCACTGGGTAACGTTAAACGAACAACACTTCCGGTATTTTCGGAGGTGAAAAACGAAAATACAGCACCTGACGTTAAAAAAAAAAAAAAAAAAATCCAAAGNATAAAAAAAAAAAAAAAAAAGAATGAAACTATTATTCTACTTACATTTTAAACTCGTATATTTTCTAAACATCCAGACACTCTTTTTTTTGGGTTTTTTTATTTCGTTTTTTGTTATATAAGCTCTTTTGACAACACGAATATCCAAAATTCACCCTTTTGTTGCAAAAAAAGATTTTGAAGGTAGTTATAGGAAACTTCTGGGATAATTTATATTAATTGTTGTCATAACTACTATAGTATAAATATTTTACTGGGAAATAAAATATTACTTACAGCGCTAAAGGTTAAATCTTTCTTAACCCTTTGATGCAGAATTTTTATTAAACATAATTTTCATACGTTTTTTTTTCTTCATTATTTTGTATTAAATTAAGTCAAAATAAGTGAAATTTTTGCATTTAGCACTTTCATGAATTATGGTTAAGAAATGCAGCATGAAATACAGTTGTCCTTTCCTGCGTTAAGGGCAAAGTCTTCCATACAATAATTTTTCAAATTAGCGCTTATTTGCAGTTATTTGGTTCTAAGAGAAAAGTTATTCATCATTGAAATGTCCTTAATTTACAAAATCAACTATTGATATATTTTTGAATACGAATGAAAAAAAAATTCAAACTACTTTTTTAGATTTTATATTTTGGTACAAATATAATTCTGACAATCTAACAGGTATTTTTAGTAACTATTAGACTGGTTTTTTTATAATTAAAATATACAAAAATGTATATTTACTTGTAATTAGAGCATCAGAAAATATATATATATGAAAGGGACACCAATGTCTCTTTTGCCTCCATGAGTTAAAATCTCCAAATTTTGAAAACTGTCTACTGATGATGAGTAGCAAAATATTGTGTTCAAATTGTTTTTTGGACACATAAATCCAGGTCTTTTGTTTTTTGTCATAATTTTAACGGAGATAATTATTTTCCTTTTTAAGCGGGGTCAAGAAGTTGTTATAAGCATCAGTTACAAACATAAAGAAGATTTGTTTTATACAATGAGCAATTACACTTAATACAGATCCATTCTGATGTCATCACAGCGCTTTTCTTAAAGTTTGTTCTCGTCCAACCGACTACTGCGCTTTCTGACAACTTTAAAAGGAAATGGTTAATTGGTAGAGTAGATACACCCTCCGGTTTATAATTTAGCACCTCTGTTGTATTTTTATTTATTTCTGTACCGTTATATTTATAGTAGGAAAAATATGTGATTTATAGATCAAAAGTTGGGACTTTTTTTCTTCTTTTTTTGTTTCATTTCATTGAAAATTATTAAATAATGATAGGATTGTGCGGATCAGGTGGGTTTCAGAATTTTACTTGATCCACACAATCTTATTTTTATACAATAACATTAAAAAGTTTGAATTTAATATAGAAAAGTTTGAATTTAATATTGAAAAAGTTTGAATTTAATCTTGGAAAGTTTTTACTTTCCAATATTAAATTCAATCAAAGTTTATATAAGTCAATATTAAACGCAATCAAAGTTTCCAACAAGCATATGAAATTAATTTTTTTATTTCTTCTTAATTGGCATAAACTTTAAATTAATGTAACAACAAAAAAATTATTTTCCTTGTTACGAATTACATTCCCTATTCCCTCATTATAGGAAGTTTCAGATTTTCCTCGCAACTTGCGAATGCTGAAAACTCAGAAAATCTTTTCCAGCTTTTTTTCAGGCCAAATCCTTTATAATGGGTGGGAGAGAGGTGGAGAATTATCCTCCATTCTAACATATTTTAAACTAATTCTCTCCTCTTTTAGTAGTGCTCGAACTCTTTGAGTGAAATCAAGAATCCCCTCCCAATATGAATTTGGGGATATGATAATTTCTATTTTAAATGTAACCATCAGTGTTATTGAAAGCAGGCGGGATGCTGATACCTGGCNTGTAGATACACCCTACAGTTTATAATTTAACACCTCTGTTGTATTTTTATTTATTTCTATACCGTTATATTTATAGCAGGAAAAATAACTTCCTGCTATTTACATCAAAAGTTGGGACTTTTTTTTTCTTTTTTTGTTTCATTTCATTTAAAATTATTAAATAATGATAGAATTGTGCGGATCAGGTGGGTTTCAGAATTTTACTTGATCCACACAATCCCATTTTTATTCAGTAACATTAAAAAGTTTGAATTTAATATTGGAAAGTAAAAACGCAATCAAAGTTTCCTACAAACATATGAAATTAATTTTTCTATTTCTTCTTAATTGGCATAAACTTTAAATTAATGTAACAACAAAAAATTTTTTTTCTTTGTTACGAATTAGCTAGACATTCCCTATTCCCTCATTATAGCAAGTTTCAGATTTTCCTCGCAACTTGCGAATGCTGAAAACTCAAAAAATCTTTTCCAGGTTTTTTTCAGGCCAAATCCATTATAATGGGTGGGGTGGAGAATTATCCTCCATTCTAACATATTTTAAACTAATTCTCTCCTCTTTCAGTAGTGCTCGAACTCTTTGAGTGAAATCAAGAATCCCCTCCCAATATGAATTTGGGGATATGATAATTTCTATTTTAAATGTAACCATCAGTGTTATTGAAAGCAGGCGGGATGCTGATACCTGGCTGGGAGATCTGAATTCATCTTCCACCGATGATTGGGATGACATTTCCATTTCGTTGAAGAGGGAGGGTTGGTCACCCCCGCCGACCACCGACGGAGTGACACATCTTCGCATCACGACATCCAGCTTACTCTGCAGGTGAGTGTTGGTCTGACGAAGCTCGTCGATGTCTCGCTGCTGAAGCCTCAACTGCAGGAAGAATAAATTATCTCAATTAAAACAATGGACAACAGCTTAGCGAACAAAAAAAAGAGCCCTACTTTGAGGCACATTAACTATTAAATATATGTTGAATTTAAAAAAAAAGATTATGATGACAGAGAGATACCTATTATATACGTAGGACAAGAATTACAAAATATTTTATTAAACTTTGGAGTTCTCTCTTGACCAAACTATTTCTCAGTTTACCCTATAATTTGGGGGTCAGAAATCCGAATTCGTCGAAAAATAGATATTTTTATTCAGAGAAAGTATGTTTTCGTGTTTGATTTCGTAATTTAAAACATAGTCTGTACTTACTAATTTGCGTAATTGAGGTCACCCCCTGGAGCCATTCAGATTGAGTCCCAGAATGAGAAAATGTGATCATTAGATCAAAAGTTATTCAGGGTGCAAAAATAAAATGAATTAACTATCGATCCAATAACTGGATTTTCACTCAATCTGAATGGCAACCTAAAACATGCTAATTAATTAGTGCAAACAATATTTTCGAAATCAGACACAAAAACATACTTACTCTGAACACCTTTTGTTCGAGTCTTCCACTTCAATTTCTGACCCCCAAGAGTTGTTATCTGGAAAGTATGGCCCTCATAATTTGGTCAGGAGAGTGCTCCAAAGTTTGGACCTCTTAACGTTAATTTTACCTTTTGCTTCAATCTTTTAAGCGATTAAGAACGTTAAAAGTATATTTTAACATTTGTTTATTATTTTATTTAATAATAGACAAGAAAAATTTTGAAAGTAAGGTATGCGAATTTTTACATCATTTTAAATTATGTAATTTTATAAGGCAAAACACAATATTTAGATGAAATCGTCTGAATAATTTCTGAAATGCCGAGTTTTAATAAGTCGTGCATTGAAAATTATTTCTTTGGGATTATTGGACGCATTCCCACAGTAAAGACAATTTGAATGAAGCACACAAATCAAGTACAGGAATGGACATACTATAGTTTCAGTTCCATAAACCTTCCTTTATGTCCAAACACCAAACATTAGAGAAACAAAGAGATAAGCACGTGCAAATTATTCTAACCAATAAAAAGAGAGGAACAAGTATGATTAAGATAATAAATGATGGGTGACAAGAAACAGGTGTGAAAGGATTTGGTGAGAGCCCCAGTGGGCAAAAAATATAATTAGAAGAGATGTCCATACATTGGGAAAGGATGGGATACAAGAAATATCATTAACTAATTTTTTTAGAAATATTCAATACATGGAGCGATTTCCAGAAATCAAGTTCGGTAAATAAAGAGCAGTTTTGAATTATTTTAGCAGAATAAAATTCCAACCAATGATAAGTATTCCAATTATGTAGGACGAATCGATATCGTCATTCAATATCGTGATTTTTGACATATCTTTTACGTACTTTAAGCCGAATTTTAAGGATACGCTTAGTTTGTCCAAACAATGAAAAGAAGTTGCATAAAAGCTATTAATATCAGCTAAAGGGTCTTTAAGTTTGGTGAAATTAAGTTGTATTGCAGCGACTATTAACTCTCATTTAGTCAAAATCTTTTTGCAACCACCTTGAATAAAAGAGTTTGTTACATTGTGCGATTAGTTTTACACAAATGGAAATCAATAATATTAGAAGGAAATCCACTGTCAACAGCGATAGCTTTTAAATTTATATACCTTACAATTCAAAATTTTCTCAACCACATTACTAAATAAAATAATGAAGAAAGATAAATAACTAGTAAAAATTTCTCCTTTACATAGATTTAAAAATCCGTCCAGACGAAAAAAAGGTATGTTTATTCAGAGAAAGTAAGTTTCTGTGTTTGATTTCGTGACTAAAAATATTGTCTGCATTTATTAGTTTGAGGTTACCTCTTTAAAAAATTATGATAGAACTCTAGTGCGTAAAGATCCGATCCATAGATCAAAATTAACTCAGGGTGTTCGTGCAGTACCTGTTGTTCCTGTTCCCTGTTTCTCTTCTCCAGGAGGAGTATTCTGTCTGAAGATTCTTCCAGGGAGACATTCAATCCCTCCCTTTCGTCATTCAGTGCAGAGATACGCTTCTCCAGTTCACTTTTTCTCTCGGAAAGCAAATTTATCTGAAAAGAATAATTAACAAAGATTTTTTTTTTAAAAAAAACAATATGTTGTAAGTTATAAGTTCTACTAATAAGAAAAACGCGCAGTGAAATTAAGTAGAATTTTCGAAAAATAATGATCTTTTTTTTTAAATTTTTATTAAATGGAAAACTACGGAAATTTTGAAAAAAATCCTTACCGATCATCAAAAGTTGAAAATCATAAACATTAAATTAGAAAAAATAATGGAAGATGGGACAAAAAAATAAGGAATTAACACTTATCTTCTTTGTTGTCTTATCTTCTTTAAAATTTATTTTGAAAAGTAAACAAAATTAATTCTATTTGTTTCAGTATTACTTAAATGTCTAAACAAAATTAGTGAATGCGACTCCAACTGCATAACAAAAGTGGAATAGACGTTTAACCTTGTTTAACAAATAGAAGCGTTTTTAAGGAAGTAGAAATTTATTTGAATTATCATTTCATAGATGGCAGCACTATGACTTTACACTATTACAAAATAGGTACTTGATCTATATGTTCTATTCTTTACTCAAATGCAGAATTAATTATTTTTTTGCTCTAATAATCTTTTAAAAATTCATATTTTAACACTTTTTTTATTCCTTAAAATTATTGCAGCTTGATATACTTATTTCCGTTTGAAGTCAAATTTTTGATACAAAATTTTCTTAAAATTGTAAGTTCATTAAAAAAAAAGTCAAATATCGAAAAATATGTTGGTCACTGTTCTAGAAGAGAAAAGGCTTAAAAAAAATTTAATGCTTTAATAACATTTGAATTGAATGATCATAAATTCTCTTATGAGTCATAGTTTGTTGTGACATCAATTATCTCAGTCTCTATCTTCTTTTTTTTTAAATTTATTTCCAAAATAAATGCGTAAGACGAATAAAAAAGTGAAGAAAAAAAAGTTTCACTTTCTAGCGTATAATCATTAAATTGTTATTCATGATGCTTTACTGGAAATCAACTCTATAAAGTGTTTTTCTCAAGGAAATTCAATATTTTTTTCATCTTCAATTATTTAAAAAAAATTTCTTTTACCTCCTCCCTCAGCCCTTCCAGCTGTGAGACATGATCATGAAGATTTGATCGACGAACGTTAAATTGTTCTCTTAAAGTTTGCAGTTGACTCTGCAGTTGATCTTCTGTTTTAGCAGACTACAGAAAAAGAAAAAATTAAATCGTTAGTCATGAAATACATAATCTATAATAATAAATTGAAGAATTTGTTAGTGCGTCTCTTATATAACTCCAAAACAATTTATTCCAATGTTCTGAAAATTGAACATTGCATGAAAGGAACTATTTGAGTCCTCGATTTTAAAAAAAGTTAAGAAAATTTCAGTACGTTCGTTCGGGGGAAACGATTAAAAAAATGGAATTTTCTCAATGGTTTAGCAATAGTTATTGTTACAAATTAAACTGCAGACTTTACTATTTAATCAAATATTTTCAAGATAACATCAGTGATGTTTGCTTGATACAGCTTTATTCAATTAAAGAATAGAAGATATTTGCACATGTTAAAATCTTAATTAGTATATCTAAAGTTATCTGAAACCACGTGCTTATAGTTTTGCTTTTAAATAGTGTTTCTGTAGAATTAATGAACTAAAAACAATAGTAATTAAAATATATATATATATATATATTACTAATAATTAATAAGAGGTTATGAGGATTTCCTTTGAAATTTAATTGCCAAGTAAGTTTTAATGTAAAAGCAAAACATTTTAATGGAACTGTGTATAAAAAATATTAGCCAAGAAGGCTAGATTTGCCTGACAAGCAAATCTCACATTAACAAATTAAGAGGATATTGNCTACGTTTCTTCAACATATATATATATATACTATAATGCAAATCTATTGAAGAAAAGATGTTTATTCGTTTAGTGGGGTATCGTTAAAATTTTATATTTTATGATTGAAATCAATGATGCATAATTAATTTTGGTAATTAGCACGACTGGTAATATGATAATGGGTACTGCTACGTTTGTAAATCTATTGTGCTTTTAAAATGCATCATTTGTTCACAAGTCTTGTTCGATGAGAAGATAGAATTTAAAATTTACCATTTCCTTCCATTTTATGTATTATCGAAGTACATACTTCAAGTACATTTATTGTTTGTTTGTTGTTGTTTTTTAAATTAATTACAAAAATATTTGATAAATAATTAATATTTTTCGTCTAAAATATACTTTGAAAGCTTGCGTGTTTGACATGCAAGTTATATAAAGTTTTTTAATCCATTGCGTTTTTCACTTATTACGCTGTTGTAAAGCGTTAATTTATTTGAAAGAGATGTTATTAAGCAATATTTATGTGTCTTGATTCCTTACCCAAATAATAACTGCATTTTAAACAAGTCCTATTTTTCATAATGTAATAGGTATATAAAATAAAATGCTTGTTTATGCTGTCTCTGTAGCTTAAAAATATATAAATCTAAATACCGAGTCTCATGATAGAGTATCGGAAAGAACAATTTTCGAAACCTAATATTTTATGATGACACTACCGCTAGTGTATCCATGAAAAAGCTGCAGATTTCATTTTCTAGTTCCATAGAGAGAATTGCTCCACCAAAAAAGTAGCAGAGCGCAGCCCAATCACGTTTTGTTGAGCAATATGTGTTCACAGTCTTGCTTTACCCTTTCCCAGTCTACGTGCCTTGACATGAATTCTGGACACCAACTGCGGAAGAAAGAGGATCTCTTTTGATTTCTTCCGATTTCACGTTCCGCTGCTTTTGGGTGAACTTCTGACGAACAGCTCATTGAATATTCAAGATCAGTTCACTCTTCAAGAGATAATGAACAATTATCCTTTCAAACTCACCCGTTAAAAGAACAACGATTGTTAATTCAGAAATAATTGGCAAAGAGAATATTTCAACGAAACTGCTTTTCGGAAATTGAACGGTTATATTTTCAAAATTTTTCTTCTCCAGAAAAATTCTCTAATTGCTCTTTTCACGGAAAGTTTGTGGGTAACTAAACGGAACTAATTATTATCCGACAGGCTTAGCTCGAAATAGATTAAAATGTGTTTATTTTAACTCTTTTCCGTTTGACAGTTTTTTAACACCCGCTTATTTCTGGTATTTGATTGATTTATGTTTGAAACTCAGTTAATAATGCTTGAAAAAAGAGAAGAGTTACAAACAAAACAAAAAAAGCCTTGGTTGGAAAAAATATAATTATTTTTTTTTTCAGTGGATTTTATAGAAAAGCTCGAGCTCCTTTATTCGCCAACTTTTACATTTTGTTTCGCAACTTAAAACTAATTGTTCCTCCAAAAACTGAAAAAATTCAATTTAAATGTAAAAAGCTTTGAGTTAATTTTCCTTAAAGTATCTTTAAATATTCACTGAACTTCCATTTTTCTGTCCTAAATATTAAGTGTTTATCTAATAGAATCAAGATGGAATTAAGAGTCAACTTAAATTAACTCGCTCAATACTTCTTTAAACAATCTAAAATTTAATAATTTTCTTTAACAGATAAACTTACTGCAAAAAGAAAAATAGGTTATTGATGTAGTTATGCTATCACCACAGTTTTTGCTAATCCTATTGCAGTTTAATGATTGTTCCTACCAAGCTTAGTACAAGGAATAAGAATACTTACCACCGAATAAGTTTTAAACACGGGTTATTACGATTCTTCAACAATTTTGGTAAATCCAACTGATGTTTAATCATTTTCTTTAAATTTACTATAAGGAGTAAAATAGATTTAAGCCGGTGTAGTTAAGTGACCTCCACAGTTTTTGCATATCCTATTGTAGTTTAATAATTTTTCTACCAAAAAAAATTTTCTTTAGATTTAAACAGTGTAGTTATGCAACTATTTTGGTAAATCCTACTGATGTTTAATCATTTTCTTTTCCAAATAAGCATATATAAGAGGAAAAAAAAAGTTTTAAAGAGATGTGGTTATAATAATTTTTTCTAAGAAATAAGCTTACCATAAGGAAACCAGATCAGATTTAAACCAGTGTAACTACGTTTCTTCAACAATTTTGATAAATCCTGCTTCAGTTAAATTAATTTATTTATTTTAATTTTTTGCCAACTAAGCTTAACATGAGGAATGAAATTTCCATGGCATTGCACTTCATGAACGGAGTTGTCATTCAAATTCTTATTTATCTGATTTTCTTACTTCAAAACGAGTTAAACGATTTACACCGATTAGATTATTTAGTGCAAAAACCCTTCACTCCAGAATATACACTCTATAACAAAAAAAATCGACGCACCAAGAAGGAGGTGTCCGATTGCAACGAAAATTGGTGGATAGTAATACAATGTACAGAATAGTAAATGATTAAAGTTTCAGAGCAATTGGATAATTTATTGCAGAGTTACAGTAACAAGTTCAATAAGGTGTTGATCCGTCTCTAGCATGGATACAAGCTGCCACACGGCGTGGCATAGACCGATAAAGCTCCCGGATGGTCTTTTGCGGTATTTCTTGCCAAATTCGATCCAATTGTCGGACGAGGTCATCAACATTCCGTGCCAGATGCAATCGCCTTCCCATCATATCCCAGACATGCTCGATGGGAGAGAGATCTGGTGATCTGGCAGGCCAAGGAAGAGTTTGACAAGCTTGCAGACAGTTCATAGCAACACGTGCCGTATGTGGTCTGGCATTGTCCTGCTGAAAAACCAGCCCAGGGCGCTGCAAAAGGAACGGTAGCAAAACAGGTCTTAGGATGTCGTCGACGTACCGCTGTGCAGTAAGTGTACCTCTAATGACGACCAAAGGGGTCCGGCTGTCAAAGGAAATGGCACCCCAGACCATAATGCCTTGTTGAGGGCCGGTGTGGCGTGCAATAGTGAAGGCAGGATCCCCCCTCTGCCCTGTGCGTCTCCAAACACGTCTTCGATGATCGTCAGGACACAGTTGGAAGCGGGATTCGTCGCTAAAGACTATTCGTCCCCAGTCGGCATCATTCCAGCTTGATCTGTTCAAAACATTCATGCATACGAAATTTCAAAGCGATCGGATGATTGCTTCTTGGTGCGTCGATGTTTTTTGTTATGGAGTGTATGTCCATACTCTTTTAATTACAGTGATAGTTTTTGATCGTTATTATAATTTTTTTTATTATTTTTTTCCTGATCTATTTATTTGATATTCAATTTATTTCGATCTAAGTTTCATATGATTATTAACGCTACAATAGAAGTATGCTCCATAATTCATCCTGAGAAATAATCTAAAGACAATGTATGCTGCACCCACTTCTGAATGAAAATTTAGAAACGATAATGTGATTCATTATCCAGTTTCCGCCCCTCCCTCTCCGAACACTCAACTGCTGCTTCATGTCTACAGGTTACCGTGAGTGATCGAAATCAAGAGAATGTCGACTTTCACCGGTGAATGACAACTATCACAAAGACACTTTGGGGAATGTGTCGGAAATATTTGCTATATCCGACTTGGTATTGATTTATTCGTTGATATTATGATATTATTATTATTATTATATTTATTATATTGTGTTCTGAATCCCTATAAATTTTTAAAAACCTGAAAAAATTACATTCAAAGCTAAAAACAACAATTTTTTTTATTTATTTACTAACTAAATATTAGGTTTCAAAGCTCAACTAAAGAAAGATTTCAATTAAAGAAAGATTTGTTAGAACATAATGCAGTTTTAGGATGTTAGAAGTTTTTTTTTAAACTTGTAAAGGAGATGCGTACCTGTTTGAGTTCGGCCGTCAGTCGGTGGTTCTGTTCTGTGAGCTCTTCCAGCAGTTGTCCCTTCTCTTTCTCGTGTGTCCTGTGTGTTGTGTGCTGCAGAGCAATATCTTTCTGCATCTGCTTGAGGTCTGTCTGCAATTCGGCCACTCGACTCTCGTACTCGCTCTCCAAGACGTCCAGCTTCCTCCGTAGGCCATGTTTCTCTTGCTCCAACAACTACAATCAAAGAAAACATTCTATTAATTCTTGTGCAGATTTATACTAAGGAAATTCCGATCAGTAAAATAAAGGTGACTCAGAGGATAGAGCTTTTGCCTTCCAATCAAATGAACCAGGTTTGAATCCCAGCTCGATATGAATTCCGCACCCGGCTCGCACCGATCATAAAATATCCTCAGTGGTAGACGAATTGTGGGTTAGAGTCCCCTTGCCATCATGGGAGGTTTTAGTGGTTTTCCTCAGCATGCAACGCAAATGCGGTTAGTTCCATCAAAAAGTCCTTCTCGAGCGCAAATTTTTCGACATATGTGAGTCAAGAGTTTCCTTGTCTTCTGAATTGGGTTATAAATTACAATGCTACGAATCTTACCATTAGTAGTCGTAAATCCAAAAAATTCGGTCGGCTTCTCAACGACCGTTAAAAAATAAAATGAAAATAATAAAATAGCTGGTAACTTATAAAGAGTCTGCTTAGAAATAATATTAAGAAACAGTTTAATTAAAAAAATGTAACCTTTGTAAAAAGACTGATTTTATGGTTTTAGGACTTTTAATTAAAAACAGCGTAATTTCGTTCACTACTGCAAACCGGAAGCAAGATTAAAGTTACATATTTCTTCCCTTCTTGCAATCGAAACTGCATCTCCTGTTTCTGCCTTCTTTCTTCTTTAAAATCAATTTTCGTTTTCATTTTTATTGTTAGATTTTGGTGATGGCAACAATTATTATTTTAGACTTTAGTTTCTTGTGATGACAACGCTTGTTAATTTCGCAATTACGCTGTACTCGAAAGAATTCGTACATTATGAAGCAATGACATTATCTCTAATGAATTATCTTAAATTTTTGACATGCCTCATTAATTTATGGAGAAAATAATTGTTTTAATAGGCAAATACTGTATGAAAATGCAATGAAAACGATTTACATATATCTCCATGTATATATACGGATTTGAGAAGCATAAATTAGCAATTAGAAATGGAATTAGAAATTATAACACCATTGAATGAAACAGCAATCGTAGAAACAATCATTCGAACAATAATCGTTAGAAATGAAACAACAATTTTAGCAGTTTTCTTTCGAAATTGAAAATCACCATTCCTGTGGGCTAAGCTCTTTTTGCTTCCTCAAATCTTTTTAACATGGGTGAGTAAAATATTTGAATTTCAGGTTATAACGAGGTTATATTTCGCGATATGCCAAAATAAAAGCACGTTTTTTAACCTCNGATTTACATATATCTCGAATGGATATATGCGGATTTGAGAAGCATAAATTAGAAATGGAATTAGAAATTAAAACAACATTGAATGAAGCAACAATCGTAGAAACAAATAGTTAGAAATGAAACAACAATTTTAGCAGTTTTCTTTCGAAATTGAAAATCACCATTCCTGTGGACTAAGCTCTTTTTGCTTCCCCAAATCTTTTTAACATGGGTGAGTAAAATATTTGAATTTCAGGTCATGACGAGGTTTTATTTCGCGATATGCCAAAATAAAAGCACGTTTTTTAACCTCTTAATGGATTTGCCCGTGTCTGACACGGGCGAAAGTTACCGTCAAATATGCGCATGCTTCTCACTCGGGTTATTTTGTATCTCGCGTTAATTTATTTCCATCGCCCGCCTGAGATTCCTTTCTAGTAAAAATGAATAGGCTAGATTATATTTAAATTTATTTACCATAGATGGCACCACCATGCCGCATTTTTCTTGCGTAAACCATGTGGTGCTTTTTGATGATTAGCTATAAGTTTGTTAGAAGTTCTATTTTTTAAAGCAGTTGTTTTGTGTGGAAAATTTAATCTATTCATTTTTATTGCTTTAAATATTATAGCCGTAAGCAGCTAACAATAAATAAATTTTTTCTAAGTGTTTTTATAACTTGTTTTGAAAAAAAGTATCCGATTTTAAGTTTTCCATTTTAGCAGAATGTTTAAGCAATAAAAGTGATGATCTCTTGAGTTGATTTAATTTGATTTTTATATTTTGAAATTCAAAATAAACATGTCATCAAATTGTTTAAACTTCGTTTGTAGAGTAATTTTTTTTTTTAATAACTTTTAAACGAACTCCCGATCCTTTGTCACCCCCTATAATTGAAATTGCGAAAAATAACTTACACTATACCCATATTATTCATTTTCTGCCAAAAAACACTCTATCATGTTTTACCGATTTTTCCGAAGAAAAAAAAACTCGTACTAAAAAGCGGTCGTTCGTTATTATCCTTTAAAATGTTTTAGTTGGAACTATTTTTCATAGACACCCATTAAGGAAACACGGGCACAAACTGAAATGGACAAACAAAGTGGGGAGACACCATCCCTTCTTATCAGTAAAAATAAACTCTCCTTTTGTTCTTTCGTCAAGCACTCTAAATGACCGCATTCATTTCTAAATTTTCCCATGAATTGTCTAAGGAAGGCACTTCATAGAAGCGTTTAACTTCTGAAGCCGGAAGAAAGTTCTTTTTTAACACCTTCTCCGGCTTCGCTTCAACGAACTTCTCTCGGAGAGAAAGTTTTTATTTCCTTCATTTTGTAATGGGAAAGAGATACTTCGGTTCACTGCAATTATTTCAAAGTTTTTTTTTAAACTATTTAGTTTACGAAAGTTGGGGCTTACACACATTTTATTATAGAATTTGCTGAAGTTGAAACAAAGTGGATAGTATTCTAAATAAAATGGTCGTTTAATTGTAATACACTGTATTATCTAACAAGAAGCACATTTGTTGAAGTGAATGACCGAAATAGGTGGTTGTTGACTTCCACCGGTGAATGTTGACAATCACAAAGTCGCTTTGGTAAATATCCGAAATATAGACTACGTCTAGCTAAGTGCCACTGACCGGTATACATTTGCCCGGTATGCCCTACATCCATGTTTTTTTAAGGTCAAGTACCACTGCCGGTACTCCGAACACTGATGTTTCTCCTAATCTATCCTCCGCGGATATTAAAATATCGAATAAATATAATAATATCAACGAATAAACGAACATCAAACCGGATATAACAAATATTTCGGACCTTCACCCAAGCGACTATGTGATTTTTGACATTTACCGGTGAAAATCGACGTTCTCTTGATTTCGGTCATTCATGGCAACATATTAACCCTTCGAGACCAGCAGATGGACGTTGAAATAAGATTCGATCTGCACCATTTTCGTTGAAAAGTAAAATGAATTATGCGCAAGATAAAACGAATTACGCTTCTTATGCGCAATGCTGACCACTTTGTTATAATCATGTTATTAGTCATGGGTTTGTGGAGTCTTAACCTCCAAAACAGCCAGGCTTAGAACGGGCTATTGCAGTATTGTCTTACCTCAACTACTTTTTTTTTTTTTTTGGAATGAAACTTTTAGCATCATTTCAAAAGGTCAGAATGAATGGATAAACTGATGGTTTGTCTTAAGAAATTCAATTTATGAACTTATTAAGGTAGCAATAAATTCGCATTAAAATATGATTAAACTATTTTCCTTAAATGTAGAGAGTAGAGATGGATTCTTTTTAATGTGTCGAAAAGAAATGCTAACGAAAACAACGATTTGAAGTATTTCGCTTCGTTAAGAGTCGTTGAACTTAATCCATTCCAAATAAATATTTAAATTCAGAATCTGGTGCATTGTTACGATATTAATTGCATTTCACAGTTCCGCAAATGGCCGACATTTAATGTTCATCTGTCTGTCTTCCTCTTCTTCACTTCCTTTCACCTCAACCTCTTCTGTTGCCATTTTCTTCCTAATCATAAATTGTTTTCAGACAACTTTTTCCTTAAAACGAATACCACCTACGCACTTTTTTTATGCAGAGAGAAAAAGAGAATTCGAACTATAATGTTGCATATTTTGAATTTCCTTTGCGTGCTTACATATTTCAATACGTTTTACTCGTTACGATCAGTTCATTAATTGTAAAGAGATTCGCCCCCTACTCGCTACGCTCCCCAACCTTCGTGATTACCACGCAAACATTTTTTCTTTTATTGTTATTTCTTAAAGATGTGGATCGTTGCAAATAAATTAAAAAGAATTTGTTCGAAAGATCCTAAAATGTTACGTTGTTGGCAGATAGTTTACAATAGTGGATACTATTAATAACTTCGTACAAGATTCCAACATCAAAATGAACAAACATAACATCTTTATTAAATTTTAAAATATCAGAAGAAAAAGTAATACAATTTATTACATTTTTCTTTCTTATCACTCTGTGAGAGAATAAAAAAAAAGTGGATATTTTCAATTTATTTCATGATAAAAATTTTTAAACCATAATACAATCCCCATGACTGTTTTCTAAAACATTCTTTTTCAGATCAATTTTTTTATCACTCCAGAAATTCTATTTGCTGTGCTTAAAAATCCAACTGCTTTAAAATGCTAAAAACTAATCATTTTCCGTTAAAAGTAAAACACAATCAAGTGCTAAAATAATTCCCTCCAAACCAAGAATCGATGGAGAAATCGTTTTTAAAACAAAAGAAAACCATTCATTGAGTGTCGATAAATACGGACAGGAAATATAAAAGTATTCAGTTATTGCAACAACAAAAAAGGGGGGTAAGATAGAGACGGTCATCTGTCAACCTTTAAGGGAGAAAAGCAGTAAATAAACAGTTAAATTAAAATAATAGTTAAATTAATGTGGTTAAATTAGCCCATTCATTAAATAACGAAACAATAAAAGATAAGTTTCACGGGTTTAGCTCCAAAATCTATTAAGATGACATTTTAACCTGATCTTATTTCTCGGTCCTCCATCTACAGTTTCTTAAATTTTCATTTAGCGTTACAAAGAGAGCAGAGATTTCCCCATTCCTGTTACACGATAAAAAATCTTCGCGTAACGCAAAAAATGATGGAAACTACTCTACAACAAAAGAACTGTTCTGTAACTCGAGTAATGTCTCTTTACAGTACTTCGTGTACAGTATCTACTACAGCATATTGATATTTAGCCATTAATATTTA